AACCCTGCGCCATCTGGTATTTCCTCTTTTCCATTTTCCTTAACCCCTACCTCAGCTGGGCTGTATACTGTTTTATCCCCTTCTACTGAGTATTCTCTTGAGGACCTGGTTACTTCTAACTCTAAACCTCCACCATATAATCCTCAGGCTTCCTCGCCTACCATCACCTCTTCCACCTTCCCTTTGCCTTCTCTGCCATTGACTACCTGTCTCTGATCTTGGGCCAACCCAGTCCCTCTCCATCCCTTCCAGAAAGTCCCTCCTCCACAAGAGGCAGATCAGACCGATCAATCCTTCTTGATATCTGTTCCCTTTTCTACTTCTAATTTATACAATTGGAAATACCAAAATCTGGCATTTTCCAATAAGCCACAGGATTTAATTTCTGATGGAATCAGTCATGCGCACTTATCATCCCACCTGGGATGATTGCCAACAGCTCCTCTTAACCCTATTTACCTCTGAAGAGCAAAAGCGCATTACAACTGAGACCAGAAAGTCTTTTCTGGCCTCAGCTACAGGTACACAGGAAGAAAATCAAAAAAGTTTAAATAAAATTTTTCCCTCTTTCTCCCAGATTGGGACCCTAACACTTTGGCAGGATCCCAGGCATTAAATACCTATCACCAGACTCTATTAGCTGGGTTGAGGGGAGCAGCCCAAAAACCTATCAGTCTTTCTAAAACTACCAAGATTCCCTAGGGTCTTGAGGAATCTCCAGGGTTATTTCTTGAGTGCCTTCAGGAGGCCTTTCGTACCTATACCTTATTCAATCCCTTGGCCCCCAAGAATGCTCGAGCTATCAATTTGGCATTTGTAACACAGGCAACTCAAGACATCTGGAAAAAGTTACAAAAGCATAAGAGCTTTGCAGGAATAAATATTTCCCAGCTACTCAAAGTAACCCGAACATTTTTGAACAACCAAGATGCTGAAAAACAGAAACTGGCAATACAAGGGGCAGATAAAGCAGCCAGATGTCAGGCAAAAATATTGGTAGCTGACCTCCAAGCCTCCCATCCTGACTCAAGGCCACTGCACCAAAAGAGGGGGGAGACTAGGAAGGGACAAAAGGGGATTGGATGTTTGTTTTTGACTAAAAAATCAATGTGCATACTGCAAAGAATTTGGATACTGGACAAAAGATTGTCCCCGAAAACCGAAAGCAAACAACCCTAAGCCAGTTCTAGTTTTGCCTGCTACTGGGGAAGCTGAAAATGACTCTGACTGAAGGGGCCAGGGCTCTTTTTATTTAGGCCCCCAAGAGCTCATGGTAACTACAGCTATCAGGGGCCACCCAGTCCAACTCTTAGTGGACACTGGAGAGAACTTTCAGTCCTAAAATCTCCATTGGGACCCATGTCCAACAAACAAATTTTTGTTCAAGGGGAAACAGGCATGATTATGAATTGTTACTTTACTTCCAATCAGACTACTGACTTAGGACAAAAACGAGTCACACTCATTCCTCATAGCTCCTGACTGCCCATACTCCCTCATGGGCAGGGATTTGCTTTGAAAATTAAAAGCAACTATTGTGTTTTCACCTGAAAAAACTGAAGTGTTTATTCCTACTGCTTACCAAATGCTTTTAACTGTCCCACTTTCTGAAGAATACCTTCTAACTTCTCCTAATTCCCCCACTGAGAACGTCTCATCAAGCCTACTTCTACAATTACAGCAGGAGTTTCCTTCAATCTGGATGGAGACAAACACGCCAGGATTGGCAAGGCATCACCCTCCGGTCGTGGTGAGTCTGTTGGCATTGGCCACCCCTGTTTGCAATCATCAATACCCTATGAGTTTACAGGCCTGGAGAGGAGTTGCTTCCCACATTAAGAGGCTCTTGGCTGCCAACATTTTAACACCTTGTAAATCCGTTTGGAATACTCCATTCTTGCCAGTCAAAAAGCCAGGAACATCTGACTACAGGCCTGTTCAGGACTAAAGAGAAGTTAATAAGAGGGTCAAAACAATTCATCCTACCGTTCCCAACCCGTACACCTTTCTGTCTGCTTCCTCCTCAACATCAGGTATACACTGTGTTGAATTTAAAGAACGACTTCTTTTCTATTCCTTTGTCCCCTGTCAGTCAATCCATCTTTGCCTTTGAATGGACAGATCTGGATTCAGCCAGCGGACTTGGACCAGACTGCCACAAGGTTTCAAAAAATTCCTGACACTGTTTGGGGAAGCCTTGCAACGGGACTTGTCAGGTTTTCGTGTTGCTCATCCTGAATGTACTTTACTGCAGTATGTAGATGACATTTTGCTCACAGCAGCAGACCTAGACACTTGTCTAAAGGGCACCAAGGCTTTAATATAGCTTCTCCAGGACCTGGGCTACTGTGTATCAGCTAAAAAGGCACAACTCTACTCAGCTGGTCTCCTATTTGGGATACCAGCTAAAAGAGGGTAAATGAGTCCAGTCCGCAGCCCAGAAGGATGCCATCCTTCGGATCCCCACCCCAACTTCGAAGCAACAGATATGAGAATTTCTGGGGGCAGCAGGATACTGTTGATTATGGATTCCAGGTTTTGCTGAAATTGCCAAGCCTCTATATAGTGCTACTGCAGGGAATCAGCCCATGTCATGGACGGCTACCAAGGAAAAAGCTTTCCAGCAGTTAAAATCAGCTCTCACGCAAGCCCCAGACTTCGTTCTCCCAGATGCTACCAAGTCCTTCCACCTGTTTATTCATGAACAATGGGGAATTGTCAAGGAGGTTCTTACTCAGACTCTCGGACCCTGAAGACGACCGGTGGCCTACTTGTCAAAAAAACTGAACCCGGTGGCTTCTGGCTGGCCCTCTGGCCTATGGGCTATTGCTGCCACAGCAATGCTAGTCAAAGAAGCAGACAAACTAACCTTTGGTCAAACCTTGGTCTTAACAGCTCCCCATGCTGTCTAAACTCTGCTCTGAGGAGCCTCTGGGCGCTGGATGTCAAACGCTTGTATCACTCAATATCAGACCCTCCTACTTGACCAGCCCAGACTAACTTTCTCTCCCACTCAGAGCCTCAACCCAGCAACCTTACTGCCTGATGACAGTCCAGAAACACCAATTCATAACTGCAAAGACATATTGGACATCTCTCAAGCCAGCCGCCCCCATCTTCAGGACACTCCCTTAAGCCAGGCTGATGCAAGTCTGTTTACGGATGGCAGCAGTCTGATAACAGATGGAGTCCGAAAGGCTGGTACAGCAGTGATCAAGGCTCACAGTGTAATCTGGTCACAATCCTTGCCAAATGGCACATCTGTGCAAAAGACTGAACTAATTGCCTTAACCCAGGTTCTTCGCTGGGGAACAGGAAAACAGGTAGACATCTTCCCCGACAGCCAATATGCCTTTGCTACCCTCCATGTCCATGCCATGATTTACAAGGAGCGAGGACTCCTCACTGCAGAGGGTAAGACTAAAAAAACAAAGAAATCCTAGCCCTCCTAGAGGCTATATGGCTTCCCAAAGAGGTAGCCGTCATTCATTGCAGGGGAAACCAAAAGTCAGACACTCCAGAAGCAATTGGAAATCACCTGGCAGACCAAGCAGCTCGAGAGGCAGCAAAGCTTCCGGTTGAGCCCCTAACTGTCCTGCTAACTGAAACCTTTCCAGTTCCTTCTCTCCCACAACAACCCACCTATACTCAAGAAGAAGAAAAACAAGCAGACCTGGCAGGAGCTCACAAGGAGCCCACAGGATTGTAGGTTAAAGACTCCAAGGTCATCATACCTACAGCCCTAGCACATACGTTGGTAAAGCAACTACATTCTATCACCCACCTGGAAGGTACTAAAATGACTGAATTGCTAAATCATCATTATCATATCAATGATTTTAAAAGCCTGGCCACCAGGGCAGCTGAAATATGCCCTGCCTGTGTCTGAGAAACAAGGCCCAAGGCCTTCTGACTTCCTGACAGCATTAGGGTCTGAGAATTAAGCCCAGGAGAAAAATGGGAAATAGACATTACTAAGGTAAACCGCCCCCCATGTGGGGTACAACAACTATTTGTGGACACTTTTTCTGGATGGGTAGAAGCTTTTGCCACAAAAAATGAAACTGCACTTATGTTACAAGGTTTTTATTAAATAAAATTATTCCTAGGTTTGGGCTCCCTCTCTCTATTGGCTCTGATAATGATCCTGCCTTTACCTTGTCCATAGTTCAACTGGTTAGTAAAGCGCTAAATATTAACTGGAAATTACACTGCGCTTACCAACCACAGAGCTCTGGATGGGTAAAATGCATAAACCAAACTTTAAAAACAACTTTAACCAAATTAATAATAAAGACCAGTGAAAAATGGGTAAACCTCTTGCCTCTGTCCTTTCTCCGGGCCCAGTGCACCCCATGCAAGGCTGGGTTTACTACATATAAAATCATGTTTGAAAAACCCCCAGCCAGGCTCGGTGGCTCAGCCTGTAATCCCGCGCCTTTGGGAGGCTGAGGTGAGTGGATTGCCTGAGCCCGCGGGTTCGAGACCCGCCTGGGCAGGGAGACCTCATCTCTACAATAACTCAAAAGATCAGCCGGGCGTGATGGCGCATGCCTGTAATTCCGACTCCCCGGAAGGCTGAGGCGGAAGGATCGCCGGAGCCCAGCAGGTCGAGCTGCGGTGGCCGGGAGCGGCCACTGCACTCCAGTCTGGGCGACAGAGTGAGACTCCAACTCAAAAAAAAAAAAAGAAAAACCCCCTCTCCTCTATTACCCCGGTTACAGGATCCCATCCTTAAAGAAATTACTAATCAATCCCTGTTAAAGTATCTTCAGTCCCTTCAACAGGTCCAGGCTGCTGTCCACTCTGAAGTCCGTGCTGTTTTGCTGACTCTGACTTCCATGCCTTGTCATCCATTCCAGCCCGGGGACCTGGATTTGCCAAAAGTTCCAGAAAGAAGAACTAAGCCCCACCTGGAAGGGACCTTTTATTGTCATCATCACCGCTCCAACGGCATTCAAGGTTGATGGAATACCGGCCTGGATTCAATCACTCAAGAGTCAAAACGGACTGCGAGCAGATGCGTAGCATTTGCTGCATGAGTTAATTCCTAAGTATAAATTTGCCCTGGCAAATGTATACACCTCATGCTAGCCTCACGAAACTGGAATAAGCCTTTGAAAAGAAATTTGTCCTTGAAGCTTGTATGATATCAGCACTGGATCGTAGAACTTGTTGCTGATTTTTGACCTTGTATTCAAGTTAACTGTTCCCTTGGTATTTGTTTAATACCCTGTACATATCTTTGGTTTAAACCCTTAGTACACATGTGGCTCAGTCACTTCATGGCTGAGGTGAGAACATGTTTATGGAAGAGAAGTCTGTGATCTGTGAATCTGCGTGACCAAGAGTCTTGATCTGTGCAGGGTATTAATGTATCAGAGCTGAGTATTCCAGGATTTCTCTAGAGATTGGCAAGAGCTGAACAAATTGTCATTTCTGTCTTGCCAGCTGGTCTAACAGGGTTGGGAAGGTCCCAGCCTTAGGACCCAGTTTCCTAACTGTTTTCCTGCCAGAACACCGTGGGTTGTTACTTGCCTTGAGTTGGAAGCGGTTTGCATTTACACCTGTAAATTTATTCATCCTTTTAATTTATGTAAGGTTTTTGTACGCAATTCTTAATTCTTTAAGAGATGACAGCAGATTTTGGTTTTCTACTGTTATGTGAGAACATTAGGCCCCAGCAACACATCATTGTGTAAGGAAAACTAAAGTGCTGCAGTAAAAAAAAAAAAAAAAAAAAGAGTCAAAAGAGCTGAAGAGGACAACGTGCCCCACTGATCAGCTCAGCCAGCCAACTGGACAGCAGCAAGGAATCCTGAAAATCCTCTTAAAATCACCTTCTGATGCCCGCCGTGCACCACATCCACTGAACTGGTCACCACGGAGCCCTGCCGGGCTCGCCATTCTGCTTCAACAGCACCACGGACTGACCAAACTACGCTCAGCTGAAACATAAAACTCTGCCCCAAAATGAACTGTTTTATTGGTTAATAATTTCCTGAATGTCTTGTTACCATCATTTAACCTTCACCTTAGGCACCCCACTTGCCTTAGCTTTTGGCATAAATCTAACTACTGTAGCTCCCGCTGACTGGAAATGTGGCAAAAAATTCTTGTTAATATCATCCTATCTCCTATGTGTAAAATGTATTACTGCCCTATTTTGCTTACAATAAATTCAACCAGCCGGGCCCGGTGGCTCAGCCTGTAATCCCGCGCCTTTGGGAGGCTGAGGTGAGTGGATTGCCTGAGCCCGCGGGTTCGAGACCCGCCTGGGCAGCGAGACCTCATCTCTACAATAAATCAAAAAAAAAATCAGCCGGGCGTGGTAGCGCATGCCTGTAATTCCAGCTACTTGGAAGGCTGAGGCGGAAGGATCGCCGGAGCCCAGCAGGTCGAGGCTGCGGTGGCCGGGAGCGGCCACTGCACTCCAGTCTGGGCGACAGAGTGAGACTCCAACTCAAAAAAAAAAAAAAAAAAAAAAAAAAAATTCAACCTATTTCATTCTTACCAAAAAATCCTTAGCCACCAGTTATACTTTTTCCCTAATTTCTGTTATGTCTGCAAAAGTTCTAGCTACCCAGGACTGGACCAAACCTCCCAATTTAGTTCAGTTTAGAATAAATCTGGCTGTCTGAACAATTATAAAAAGAAAATATGTCGTCCATAATGTCCCTCATGTTGTCCATAATAATGGTACCATTTATTATACTTTGCAGAAAGTAAATTTTTATCTACGTCCTGACAATCCAAAAAGATCAAAATGTAATAATACTAATGAGCTCTTTTTCCCAGACTGGGATTGTACAACTATTGCCACCTATAAAGGGGGACCTAATAATACATCCCTAATCACTGTTTGACAAGGTGCTAGTCCAGACTCTGCCTAATCGCCTCTATATATATATATAAATCACTAATTCCCTTCAGAATTCTTGGACTGAAAGTAACTCTCAGGGGATGCGACTCTATGTAGCAGGCAAAAATCACGGAGCTTTATTCACCATCCGATGGCAAAGACACTTTAATAGACATCTGGCCAAACCCATAGGGCCATTGGCAGAAATAAAAAACCCTTTGTACAATTACCATAAAATTCCGCTGCTGTTGCCACCGCAAATTCTGCCCCAGCCTCTGTCTCCTGCCGACCAAGCCACTACCCCAGGCTCACCCCAACAACCCTCAAGTTCTTCTCGACTACCTCTACAGTTGGGCCACCAACCCCCTGGTCTTTTTTCTCTGTTAACCAGTATGCACCGTTCACGGAGAACTAGGTCAATCTAATTTTATACAATTCATCAATGATGACCTAAAAAATATTCAGTCTGCTATAGACCAACTCCACGACCAGGTAAACTCTGGCAGAAATGGTCCTCCAAAATCATAGAGGCCTAGACTTACTATTTCTATCCCAAGGGGGGTCTCTGTGCAGCTCTTGAAAACAATTGTTGCTTCTATGCCAACAAATCAGGAGTCATTAAAAGCACTCTCCAAAAATTCCAAGATAACATACAAAAACGGAAAAAAAAATTTTTTTAAATAATAAATCCTAGTTCCAGTCCCTATTTAATTAAAGCCCATGGCTAACAACTCTTATTACTGGCCTGGCTGAACCCATATTTAATATATTTGCAATGCTGTGTGTGCAATGTTTAATGTGTTAAAATGTATAAGGTGCTAAATAAGTTTTTTTAACCAAAACAAATTAGGTGCCAACACAGAGGACAGCAGAACCAGAGGGCCAAAGAGGCATCCCAATTGGCAGTTGCCATTAGCAGCCAAAACTCCAAGCACACATCAAAAACCTGGTAAAAACAAACCTAATAACAAAATAATGTCCATTGCTTATGGCTACCGTCTGTAGGGGCACTGGAAACATAGTTGCCCTAAAAGGCCTTAACCTCCTGAAAGCCATTAAAAACAGGTGCACTCTCTTCTGAAAAGAGGAGAGAACACTTGGCTCACAAGTGGTGGCCACTTATAAAGGCCTGAAAACCTGCTAAGCTGCCTGGCACTGCTTCACCATCACCCCAAAAACCCTCCCCAAGTAAATATTAGGGCACCTGGAACCCAAATTAATTTCTTAGTTTAATCCAGGTGCCAGTCTTTTGGTCCTGACCATCTATGTTAAAATCATATAGCCTTATACAAACAAACAAGTCAATGCTTTGACTTATGAACAACTAAAAGGTTGGAATGAAGTGTTTGATGTGTTTGCAGTGTTCAAAATGTTTGAGGTTTAATATTAAGGATTTTAGTTTCAAAATGGTTAAAACTCCATTTTGTTATAGAACTCCATTTTGTTTGCTTAAACCCCTGTGTGGCTGATGCAACGTTTTCAGAGTTTGCATATCATCAACTCCCACAACGCTGTACCCTCCCAGGGCTCTCCCTTATCTGAGTTATGCCCCTGCCTACCCTTGCCTAACCCAAAACTAGATATTCTATCTTTGTAATTCCTCTGTTTCCCTATAAAAAAAAAAAAAAACAGAAAATTTCACTCAGAGTCGAGAGATTTTGGTGGTATAAGACCCCCTCTTGATAGCCAGCTGATAAAGGACTCATAATTTGACCTTTTGCTGTGCAGACAATCTATTTTCTTGTGATCACAACATTGTGTATACATACCATGTTTTCTTTCTCGGTCACAACAAAGTGTAGTGGCCGAATGTTCAATCCGAGAGACCACCAAGAGCCAATTCTGATGAAAGTTCAAGAGGGTCTTTATTTGCAAGCTCGAGCCTGGACCTCTGTCGACAACCGATGCAGCAGAGTATCGGTTCCTGACTTCCTTAAGCAGACAGCTTTTATGTTTTTACACAAAGGGAGGAGGAGTTTGGGGGGACTTTCCAGTCTTGTTACCATTTAATTGGGTAGTAACCTCTGGTGGTCAGCTTAATGGTGGAGGATTGGCTAGCTTGACTCGGGCTGACCTTGGCCCACTAGCTGGGTAAGTTGCAGAGACATTTGGAAACTTTAGGTGATTTTCCCCTGGCACCTGATTGGTTGTTGCTAAGGGGAAAGTGGGTCAAGGGAAGGGGTTGAAGCTTGAACTGGAGCTTTGCAGCTTTTCCCATAACTGAAACTTTAAACAGCTACAGGTTATGTTTTAAAGCAGAAAACTAAAATGGCTGTGCTATTGTCCACAAGCCGATTACATATTTATTGGGTTATAGCATGCTCTTAACCTAAGTTTATGGTATACTCTATTACGGTTCTCTCAAAAGAAAATATGGTATGTATACACAATGGAATATTACTCAGCCATAAAGAAGAACAAAATCATGGCCTTCACAGCAACTTGGATGCAGCTGGAGATGATCATATAAAGTGAACTATCACAGAAACAAAGAACTGAATACCATATATTCTCACCCACAAGCGGATCCTGAACACTGGTCACACAAGCACAAGGGTAGCATGGGCAGATGCTGGACACTGGCTGAGGGGGGAGGAGAACTGGAGAGGGAAGGGAGGGAGGCATGTGGCAAAACTCTAGGTACTTCATCCATTATCAAGGGAAGAGAGGGCGCGCCAGAAACTCAAACTTCAGCCAGGCTCCGTGGCTCAGCCTGTAATCCCTCGCCTTTGGGAGACTGAGGTGAGTGGATTGCCTGAGCCCGCGGGCTCGAGACCTGCCTGGGCAGCGAGACCTCATCTCTACAATAAATCAAAAAATCAGCTGAGCGTGGTGGTACGCACCTGTAATTCCAGCTACTTAGAAGGCTGAGGCGGAAGGATCGCCGGAGCCCAGCAGGTCGAGGCTGCGGTGGCCGGGAGCGAGAGTGAGACTCCAACTCAAAAAAAAAAAAAAAAGAATTATGTAGTGAATCCTCACTTGGACCCCACAACTCTAAAATAAAAATAAATACAATGAAAATCCTCCACTTTACTTGTTTCTTAGTGTTTATTTCCTTATGAAGACACTCATGTCACGTAAAACTTAAATAGATGGGCCGGGCGTGGGGCTTACGCCTATAATCCCAGCACTTTGAGAGACCAAGGTGAGAGGACTGCCTGAGGCTACGGGCTCAAGACCAGCCTGGGCAACTTGGCAAGACCTCATCTCTACAATAAATCAAAAAAAATTAGCCGAGCATGATGGCGCACGCCTGTAGTTCTAGGTACTTGGAAGGTTGAGGCGGAAGGATCGCTTGAGCCCAGCAGGTTGAGGTTGCAGTGGCTGTGAGCATGCGTCTGGGCGATGAAAGAGTGAGACTCCAACTCAAGAAAAAAATATTCTTAAACAGATGTATATGTTTTTCTCTTGTCAATCTGTCTTCTGTTATGGTTCCTTAGCCATGAACCTAGGATAAGCGAAGAAAAGTTATTTTTCCTCCCTTACAGTTTCATGAGTGGTTCATACATCAAAACTTATCCAATTGCACACTTAAATATGTATAGTTTATTATATGTCAATCATACCTCAATGAAACTTAAAAATATACAGGCTAGCATTTCTGTTTGAGAAACTGGGCACATTTCTGCTACAGTCCCTCTTCTTCTTGACTGAGTTGGAATTATAGAGATTCCTGTGGCCAGCTGTTGACACCAAGAGAAAGAAAAACGATATTCCAAGGCCGGGTGCAGTGGCTCACACCTGTAATCCCAGCACTTTGGGAGGCTGAGACGAGAAGACTGCCTGAGCCCAAGAGTTCGAGACCAGCCTGGGAAACTTAGGGAGACCTCATCTCTACAAAATATCAAAAAGTCATCTGGACACGGGGTGTGCGGCTGTAG